TATATATATATATATATATAATGCTGAAATTACATGATGTGAGTAACTGCCTAATGTCGACTGGTCTGGATACAAGAGGGAGTGAAAAAAGAGTTTAACGGGAGAACCGTAGCATAAAGTTCAAAGAGCGAAACAAACAGGCTGCAGTGACACTTGTCTCAGTTTCAATTCAGCTCTTTGTGTTTTAGAGCTTGACTTTTCTCCGTGGCTAGCTAACGGACCAACAACAGCACAAAGACAGGCAGACGGGCCACGCCTGCACGGGAGCTTCCTCTGTGGGACCATGAAACCAGCTTCAGGTGTCAGCAGTGATGTCAGCGTCTGGGACGTCACGTTTAGGTCCTCTTCCAGGTGCTGTGTTTGGGAAATTTTCCAAACATTTCCTTCAGCTTCACAGTCTGAGGTCACTTCCTGTTTCTCAGGGCCTGCTAAGAGTTCCCAAAATGCTAAGCAGCAGCAGCAGCAGCGTGAGGTGAGGTCGTGTGTGCCCTGCAGATCCAACCAGCAGCAGGTGAACCCCCTCCCTGTCTGGGATCATGGTTTGGGCATCCTGCAGTGCACTGACAGCGGCCATGCTGGAGTTCAGGTCTCCGCTGGCGATCAGGTCGAATACGCAGGCCTGATAGTAGACGTCTCGAGCTGGAAGCAGAGCCGCGCAGTGGTCCTCAGCGCTGATGGCGGTGGACATCAAAGGGTCTGATGGTGGTGGGTGAAGCGTGTTGAGTCTCTGGGAGGGGGGGCAGCCCCACACGCACAGCTGGAGGTCCTGCTCAGGCCTGAACGCCTCAACGACGCCACGTGGCGAGAGGACTGAGAGGCCGAGCGAGCGGCCGCTCTGACGCACCACCAACACTGTGCCAACGTGCACCGCTCGGATCTCGGCGTGCCGGCCGGGATTCAGAGACCGAACCGTGAGGCTGCGATGACCTCGCCACTCGCCGCTCCACATCGAGCCGTCAGCGAAGGCGGCGGGGACGTTGTCCAGTTCGGCCTGGTACAGCTGCTGGTCGATACACTGACGCCAGTTCTTGAAGATGATGGTGATCTGAGAGGAAAAAGAAGACATTAAATGCCGTTTTCCATAATAGCTCTGTGATTATTTTCATTTTGGGGTCGTAAATGTTTATTTCTGCTCACTGTTACATTTTTATTTGCTGTTATTGGACATTTTGTCAGTTTTCAGCATGTCTGACATTCATTTCTCTCTTTTCACAGTAAACTGCATTTTGTGCACTGGGCTGTAGTTTGAGCACAATGTGACGGCGCTCTATCGGTCAGCCCTGCAGCAGACTGACGGCATGCAGGGTGTACCCCACCTCACCCTCTGCTCGGATCCCCCCCCCCGACCGTAAGTTGAGGTTTACATGAGAAGCTGATGGTGCATTTGACTGCTCCTGTAAGTGTCAGCACTCACCTTGGTGAGAACTGTGGCGTACATGCCTCCCCTGGCTGGTGAGCTGGTGGCTTGTACGTACAGATACTCATTGTCAATGAGAGGCCACGCCCCCGGAACGGCACATGTGTGGAAGTCATTGTTGAAAGTTCTGATGTGCGGGTCTCCGAACACGCTGCAGTGCAGGTATTCGGGTGTCTGCCCCTCCCTGCTGAAGAAGCTCCTCTCATACAGGCAGGTGTCCCCCGACAGCGTTTCAGCAGGGGGGACCCGGGGCTGTGCCGTGGGCCCGACCCGGGGGCAGCGATGCTGGATGAGCAGATCTTCGATTCCTTGGACCGCAGAGTGGTAAGCGAGGTCACCACGACACGCTCGCGACAGCCTCTTGGTGCACATGGCGTACGAGCGCAGGGCACTGCAGTAACCGGCGTTCGCCGCCTGCCTGCTGACAGCTGCTGCTCCTCCTCCTGCTGCCCCACCGCCGCTGCCACTACTGCTGCTGCCCAGGTCCAGCGTTGCAGCCACAAAATCCGAGTTACACCTCAGGATATGACAGGAAGCCGTAACTGATAAGAAGGAGAAAGTGTTTAGCATAAACAGGCTTACGGACACTCAAACTAGGGCTCCCACCATGCAGCAGTTTTCACATTTGCCTGATCAGCAAATTCTGGAAGGAGATACAAATCCCTCTGGAATTGCATCAGGGAGAACATCAGAACTGCTGTGGCAATCCTTTGTGAATAAAGGAGAAGCTCAAAGTAGCTTCTTCTTATACGTAGTTGACCCTGGAGAACAAGTGGACACTGGAACTGCAAGTTTTGCCACGTCCACATTGACTTTTAGACTTTTACCGTCACAGTTCTGGAGGTTGCTGAAAACCAGCTTCATGCAAGTGAAGCCAAATAAGGAAAAGCTATCCTGGGTGTACTGAACTGGCTTCCTAGTTTAGTCTCCAGGAGCCTGTAATACAATAATACTGCAGTCTCAGCATTTTCTGGACTGAAATGATGTGAAGAATAAATATAAAAATATATTTCAAATGTAGGACTAGCTTACTTTGAAATTTGATTTGGTAAATGG